GTTGGCGTGCGGTGCTGCAAACTTCATTGAGTGTCCCATTAAGCATGTCATGGACCTCATCAACAATACCATTCATGCGGCCTTCCACCTCTACCACCGCACTCTCGATGGCTTCAACATTTTGGTGGAGCTCATCTACTCGGTCCCGCATCCCACCCACAGTGGCTTCACAACGTAGCACTCGTAGGTCGATGGCGGAATGCTTGCCTTTGATGTGCGGGTCCTCGGTGCTTTGTCCTTGACTGTGTCATCGGCGGGTGCATTGTTCGCCTCATGGGATAGGGAGAGTCAATGCTCGATCTCCTCCATGATGTCCTTGTTATGCTTCATTATGTGCTTGCATCGCAGGTCAATGAGATAGGAATGAGCTTTGGCTCTAATACCAACTAACTATCACGGGGCTAATCGGTGAGGCCCCGTGCAGCACTCGAGTGGGTGGAGTAAGCCTAAAAAACAAGCAATTACACACAAAAGGCAACAAACATGATACACGAATTAGTAAAAAGGCACTTTATATTACAATAGATGGCAAACATAAACACACAAGTTTGTGTGGAGGGAACCTCATACTTAACCTTTATACAATATTGGCACCTCTCAACTACCTACCTCCCCTCCATGAATAGCTTAAGTTTTTGGTACTATAACAAAATATTAAAAAATATATTAAAATTCATACTACATAATTACAATAATACCATCGACAATAACCAAAACAAAATACACAAATTGCCCCATCCAAGACACACTAGATGACACTCACTTGGCAAGACATGGGCGCAATAAAGACACTTGATAGCGCGGCAAAATTGTCACCTGTGACAGCTAGCAATCATCTCCATATCCAGAATCCGGAGGCCAAAGCTCCACCACACTAACTAGTAAGTAGTAACCCCATTCTCTCCAACTTCACATAGGATGAATTTAGGTTTTGGCCCGGCACCGTACTAGCAAGCTACAGGGATGCAACATAGCTTTTACAGCACACAAAAGATCGCAATCTTCATCCTCCTCCTCTCGTCGCAGTCTCGCAACGTAATAAATTCTTGAAAATGACACTTTTAGCTTTGGAGATACTTATCCTCTGAGGACGGTACGAAGTTCAAAAAGTGTTTGTTTCTTCTTCAATCTCTCTCTCTCTTGGAAAGGTTTCAACTGCATGTCAAAGCCAAGCACAAGCGAAGAAAGGTGAAAACAGTGTAGGAACTGGGCAACAGCAGCCAGCAAACGAGTGTGGGGTGTGGGGTGGGGGCTGTAGAGTGAGTACTGGGTAGTCAGTTAAGAATAGGACAGATCGAAGATAAGAGACAAAGCTCAAATCCCGATATGCTTACAGCCCCCATTGGAAAACCACGTGAAAATGAGCAATTATTTCTGCACTGTTCTCTTCCCCCTTAATTTGAGTCCAGTTAGTCCAGTAGAAGGTCGGTGGAGAGAAGACTAGTCTCCAGTCTCCAGAGGAAGAGGGCCTTCATCTGAACCACGTCCCTTACATTATCATTTATCAAAGCCGTGCATGAAGTTGAACCGTGACCGATAGGATTAGGCAGGCAGAAACAAGAGCTGGTTGAGAGTTGAGACAGGTTCTGGTTCGGAACGGACACAGCTTAACTGAGCAGCAACTGTCTTTATCATGTGAACCATGTACCTTATTAATGTCTTGTTTGTCACCGTCCAATAAATCCAACTCTGATAAGTGATACCCAATACCCCATTCTTCGATTCAGTAATTTTTGTTTCCCTCTCACTTCTCATCACTATGACTTTTGCAGTAAATGGCATTCGTAACCACTCTTTCCCCTTTCAATAGTTTCAACGCTGCGTTGTCAATGTGGAGAATCCTCCCTGTCTGATTCTCATTGTACGTTGTTGTTGGAACCCAGAGACAGACAGAGAGAGACAACAAAAACAAAAAATTTTAACAGTGTTTGGGTACTTTGTAGAAGCTACTTTCTTACCTACACAGCTACACTTACACTTGGAAGATTACACTACACTCTTCAAATTGTTCACACACCAACATTACTTTAAGATGTAAAAACAAAAATCAATTCTGATTTTAACACCCATCCAATTCCAATCTGCCAGGCCAATGCTCCACCATTTCCTCGCCCCACAATTCATCAAAATTGCATCTCCTGTGTCGACCTCAAGACTCAGTTTGGAAGGAGTACAAATACAAATACGTACAATACATGCAAAAAATGTGGTTTTGTACTCCACATATTTGTATTTGTACTCCTTCCAAACTGAGCCCAATAGCTTAAATTTATGCACTAATTCAATTTGTAGGGTTCATCTTCAAGATTTATCAAACCAAAAACCTATTAGGAAATTGAATACATGAACAAATTAACAAACTATAGAACTAGCTAGAGAACTGAATAAGTTCCTTCAAGGATAAAAAGATGTTGCATATATGTGGATGTATTTGTATCATAAAACACTGGTTATTCCATTCCAGATATATGCAGTTAATTGTGTTCTCCTGTCTAGCAGATATTCTACATTTGGTACTAGCTACAGATTTATTGCAGTACCGAATGTTCTTTCCCTAATGCAAAAGTGGTGGATATAATTTCTAGGTGAATTTTAAAGGAAAAACGTTTTCACAGGTTCGTTTTGGATTTTTGACCCCGGATGTTCAATTTAATTTCTTTTTTCATATTTCCTATTGAAAGTTTCTTTTATAAAGGAACTTCTGATTTTCAACAATAAAACCAGAAAACAAAACTCGGGTCATATAAAGAAAACAAAGCGTGTGTTTAGAACCATGGGCGTTTAGCTATCACATAGGTGTCACTTCAGTATTTTCTTCATCACATGAATCATACATAGAGACTTGCAAAATTAGACTTCTATTTATGTGCACAACTACTTATTGGGGGAAGCTTCCCAAAGGGGAAGTATTTATTCACTGTTTTATTGATATGATCATTCAATAAATGTCCATGGTTCCAAACACATACAAAAAACGGTCACGGTGATATTATTTCCTAAGATACAACAAACTGCAATCCTCATGCCCAAAATAAAACTTCCACCACTTATATTGAAACAAGTAGCATATATGTATAGAAGATATTTCCAATGTACAACTCAGATGCTAACATATTATTTGTTTTTGGGAGATATATTCTCAATATATATACATTGATATGGTCATTATTGACCAACCATCACACATGCTGCCCCCATCAAAGGGCAATCTCATCATCTCACAAGACTTGAGGGGTATAGGAGTTAATATGGGGCCTTTATTATGGGTGTTAAGACCTCGATGGAGTCCTCATTAATAGCAGAGTAACATTTGGCCATGTAGGTCATGCCTTAGTGGGTGTTTGGCATCTAACACAACCTAACAAGAGATTTATTGGATTCAATTCTCCCAAGATCATGCTCACACTTGATTTGTACTCACTTGCAACTGTGTATTGGGAATATTTTTGTACTTATTTGTTTTTATTTATGGGAAGATATTTCTAATGCATAATTGCAAGTGGCTATAAGAAGGGTATGAACACCGTCTTGTGAAGACTGAATCCAAGTTCCTCCTAGCCCTATAAGATGTCAGCCAGCCATTTCTTGTACTACTCAATTGTGAAATGATTGGTTCATTGTCGATTCTCCCCTGTTGCCATTTCTCAAAAAACACTTCAACCTAAAAGCTTAAACTGTTATATGAAATCCTCCCCAAAAAAACTAGTTTTTTATTCTCTAACTTAGACTTGCAAGAAGAAAGGGAGATTTGTACAGCGCTTGGTTGGGCAAGGAGGATAGTGGGATCATAGAAGGTGGGAAGGGCAGGGAAAGGAGATAGGGTTGCAAAGGGATTGTATGCAATCAGATTGAAATTGCTTTCGGGTATAGAATAGTATAGTTAAATTAATCTAAAAGAATATCAAAATATTTATATAATAATCTATTATTAATAATAAAATGAACTGAAAATGACTTTAATATTCTATTTTTATAAACCACAAAAATTGAAAATTAATTGCATGAAACTTAAAACCATCCTCGCCGTAGGCGGTAGACTCGCACAGTAAAAGTCATCCCACATAGGGACAAAACCCATTTGGACACGTTTCAGCATCCCAATGGTGTGTACTTCCTTCAATTGTTTCCCTTTTTTTACGGATGTACTGAACTGTACACGTGTAGAATGAGGGACGGAAGGCGGAGCAGTGGAAGGATCAAGGCCGTACATACAGGATGATGCAGAGAGTGGCAGAGATAGAGAATCGTGATCTCCGGCTCCGGAGATCTCCGGGTCCCCCCACTCCCCCGGTGCCGGTGATGACGCTGCCAGTGTGGGTGTGGCATTCAAAGTTTCTCGTGGTCATGGACGCGACGATACCCACCTTTGGGATCTCAACTATTAAGCCTATTACTTTCAATTCTGTTCCGAGTTTCTTCTTAATGCGCATATGGCGCTTGATTTTTGTTTGGGGCTATAGAGTATAGATAATAGAGCTAGAGCCAGTGCAGGAAGAAAGAACTGGTTAGTAGTGGGGTTTCCTTTCCTCTATCATAAGTCATAACGAACGTCAGTCAAAATAAGTGCAGTTACACAGCATTCGGATTCTGCATCACTGATTGGCCAAGCACCAGGGCTGCGCAGTGGGCAGAGGCCAGAGGGATACGTATAGGCCATTCGGCCCATCACCACCCACATTTGACCTAACGCGATTGTCGATACAGAACCTACGCCAAACGCCAATCGCTGCCTCAGAACTCAGAGATGGCGCACGCGAGAGGCGAGACATTTTAAGTTTGTAATGTACTCTCTCCTCCTCGTAAGGCGTAAGTGCAAATCAAATGCATCCATCGCTTTTGAATGTTTGTTTGACAGCTAATGTACAGTAGTTATCTATTACTGATTTCCACGTAAGTTGGCCCACCCCAAAATGTGGGGTCTATTTGTCCTCCTATTACCCCTAAGACAACAAATACAAAGAGGGGAACATGTTAAGGCTGTTACTCGGTGTGATGCATATAATAGAAACATTTTACTATTTATGAAGAGAAGAAAACAACATTCCTTACAAGACCACGACTTGATATTAATTATAAAGAAACCAAACGGTGTACTTGGATACATTAGTCCCCCCATCCCAGTACTTACCACGCCAAGCCCTAAGACTAAGACTCCTCATATATACTTATATCATGCAAACTTCCATATAGTTTATAAAACCTATATATATATATATATATATACTTCTTTTATTTAATAATATTAAATATATATATATATATATATAATAAAAAGCTTAGAAGTTGACGACATTCCTCGGAACAGCCACAGCAGAGAGAGGCTTCTTCATCTCACAGGACAGTTTCAGCATCTCGCTTAGGTCAACTGGGTTCTCGGGGTCCACCACCCATTTGAAATTGTGGACCAGCTTGGCCACCCACAGGCTCACCGTCACCAGACCTAAGTTCTTACCAGGGCACACCCTACGCCCAGCACCGAATGGGGCGAGCCTCGTGTCATTGCCTCGGACATCGAGGTTGATGCCGCCTTCGCTCTCCACGAACCTCTCCGGCTTGAAAGCCAGAGGATCCTCCCAAACTTTGGAGTCGTGGGTGATGGCCCACATGTTGACCATAGCCACGGTGTTGGCGGGGATAAGCATTCCGTTGCTTAGCTCTACGTCCGACGTCGACAACCTGGCCCATGAAAGCAACGGCCCTGGTGGGTGAACCCTAAGTGTCTCCTTCACCACTGCTTGAAGGTAGGGTAGGTTAGCCACGTCTGCATCTGTAACGCACCTGCCACCTACGACCATGTCCAGTTCGCTTTGAAGTTTGGCTTGCATGCTCGGGTTCAGGACCAACTCCGCCATGGCCCACTCGGTCAGAAGAGCTGTCGTATCAGTTCCCCGGAAGATCATTTCCTGCGTCAACAACGACAATTTTTAGTCGATTCACTCACTCTCCGATTCAATTCGGCAACTGAAATTAAAGCGAAGGAAGAAAAATATTAATAATAACATTTAGTTTGGTTTGGAGTAACAAACCCAAAGAACAGCAACCATGTCATCCTCTCCGAGCTTCTCTTCACCGTCGAGAGAGAGAAGAACATCAACAAAATCGGCGTTATCAGAGACTTTACCACTTCCACGCCGTCGGTGTTCCTCAATGATCCCACGGACGAGCTTCCTCACTCTAGGAACAAGAGCCGAGCATCGTTGGTTAATACGGAAAGGATCGTATAGGTAACTCAGCCACGGCAGATAATCGGACCAGTTAAAAGCGCCCAGGAGCTCAAACCCTTCCTTCACCATCTCACGGAGCTCTCTCACCTCTTCGCTATCTTGCTCCACATCGTACCTCTTGCCAAATACACTTCCCATGATATTGTTAAGCGCTGCAGCTTGAAGGTGCTTGCGCAAGGTCACGGCACCACGAGCAGACTGCTCCCTGGCTATGCCATTCAACATGGCAGAGCAGTCCATCTGACGGCCTGTCTCGTGAGCTGCAATGTGCTTTGGTGCGAAGAGGTGAGATGAAGCAATCCGCCTAAGAAGCCTCCAGTAAGTGCCGTTAGGAGCGAAGCCAATGGCTCGACTAAACATAAGCTTCTTAGCAGACTGTTTAAGGGGGCGGTCGGCGAAGTAAGGAGACGTCAAGATCTCCCGTGCAGTGTGTGGGTCGGAGGCAACGACTACCGGGGTGGAAGCCAGGCTAAAAGCCATGAGTTGGGTAGCGCCTAGGGTCGAGGCCATGGAAGCTAAGGTTCGATGAGCCAGGCCGCGGCTCAAGCTGAATAGGCTACCAAAGACCGGAAGGCCTCGTGGTCCAGGGATTGAAGCACGTCCCCTTTGATTCCTCCCACTTTTCCAAGCAATCCCACCAACGGCAAATGCCCAGGTGAGAAGCCCAACAGACACAGAAGCCAGAAGGACAGCGAGCAAGATCAACCCATCAAATAAGTTTCTGGTTCCAAGAAAAGCTGGTAGTGTAAAAACCCACCAACTTGTATCCTTAGAGACCAAACCCAACTCCATAGGGGGAGAGAAAGAGAGATGAAGGGAGATAAGAAAGAAGTGGAGAGAGGGAGAAGAGAGGCGCAGAAGGGGAGAGGAGAAGAGGATGTGGGGGTGGGTTGTGGGGTAGGCTAGTGGCTTAGGCCCAGACGTGATGAACCCTGAAGAAGGGGATGGGAGTTAAATAAGCGAGTGGGGAGGACAAGTGAGAGTGAGGGAGAGAGGACGGAAAAAAAAAATAAAGGCTTAGTTTCACGTGGGAGAGGGAGGCTGGGAGAGTGTTTCGCGTTGTCTGTTTGAGAAGCAGAGAGTGATGAGGTGGTGAACTATTTTTAGGTGGATGTTTAAACGGAAAATACTCAGTGAGACGAGTAAACGACCATGGTTTTTCAAAGCAGAAACGGGGGGATCGAGCGATCGCAGAGAGAGAGAGAGAGTGGTAGCATGTGAATACGAGTTGGTGGGTGGTGGTGGTATCTGTGGTAAGCAATGGAGGTTAAACAGAAAGCTTGGATTTCAAGCAAATATTGGGAACTGTGAGCCAGTGACGGTTTGAAAGATTGAGGATGAATTGATTATTTTATATTTAATCAATACAATTTTTCAAACAGAGCAGAGGGCAGAGGGATTTTATCATTTTAGGGATGGGGGACGTGCCCAACAATTCTGATTAAAATTTTAATACAAAGTACTTGTGGTTTTCCATTCTATGCTTGGAAAGTTCCATAAAGCTGCTAATCGGTGTAAATGCAACCCGGACATAGATTGCATGAGACTAATGATAGGTCCAGTAGATATTGCTCTGCCGTTTATGTATATAAATAACCCAACTTCAACTTCATTCGTTATCACACTTTGATAAGTTTAGGGCCCGCTTGGGATTTGGGAGGGCTGAGCTGAACTGAAGTTGGGTTGACCAATAGCCCATTAGAGCTCTCCCTGGATTTTTTTTTTCTTTGCTTCAGCAGTTCAGCCCTTACAAACAGGCACTAAGAGCCCATTTGATAGAGTTGAGCTGAACGTTCAACTAAAGCCGCTTTAATGCATTCCAGATAAGCTATCTAAGGAGGCCAAATCACAGCCCAAAAATTGATTGACTAGTAGCTAGCCAATTTGGGCTCTCTCTGCAGCTTTCACCAAACATACCTAGTAGCTTAAAGTCTGTCTCGCTGTCTGTACAAAATCCACCTCGAAAGACCAAAATCCACTGCACTTAAGTACTCTCAAGCAGGCACTTAAGCACCTCGAAAGGGAGGGCTGAGCTGAAGATGTGGTTCAGACTTTGGCTACTTTGAAGAGTGCTTAGGATAAATTATTCAAATAGGTTGAAATAGACAGCCCTTCAAATGACTACAAAGGATAAGTAATTCAATTCAGCCACTTGAACTATTATTAAATCAAATGGTCTATATTTGTAAAAACTATTTAGTTAACCTGTGGATCTCGATGAAAATGATGACAAAGAAATGCCATGGATGATGATGATGATGGCAATAGTTTTCTTCTGCTGTTCTTTTTTCTTTTCCTTTTGAGGGGAAATTTGTCGGTATGCTTTCACCATTCTCTTGTATTCCCATCAGTCCTATGTCACAAAACTTTGATGCTTAAAAACTAATTTTTAGTTTCATGAAGTGGCTGTGCCGTCTTTTTCAATTTGTTGTAATCATAAATTCTATATGTTATACGCTATATATGACTATAAGTCTATAACTATCTATCCGTCTTTCTATGTACTTGGGCCAATTGAGGTAAGAACTATACTATATATGGACTTATATATGGAAATTTTATAATGTTTTGCATTGGTTCGATCGATTATTGAGAAATCCCACATTAAATAACATGCATTTTATAGGGATGTTGGACAATATGTTCGGTTTTGTTTTTGAAAACAAATACAGCGCCACACAAAAGTAAAAGTGATTAATTAAGGGATCATATTGTATTGGACCCAATTCTTGGGTTACTCAGGAATCCCCTCTTATTCCAATTCCATGTTTAAAACAATCACTGGAAGGTGGATTTCATGTGGAAGATTTGTGCACTCTCATCATTTATCTATTGTTTGTCATTGGTCCCCATTTTGCATAAATTGCACTACATGATTGAATGTTTTGTCAATTGAAAAAAAAATCAATTAAAAAACGGCCCTTTCATGAAGTGCATTTTTTAAGGGTTTGATTTTGCTGATGCGGCATTGTTTTTTTTTTTTTGGGAAAAAAAAAGTATCTCTACTGATCCAATGATATCAAGCCAAGAAATGTTTAAACAGTGATTATGATTCTATCGGCATTTATTAAAAAACACTGGCACACCAGTGTCACATAGGCATTGGTGTTTATTGCATATGAAACCACTTTATTTAATGTGGAAAGCAACTTTATGAG